AAGGCCCGGCGGACCGGTACCGGTCCGCGGACCGGCGGTTGGGGACCCCTGCTCTAGAGGGGTCCTAAAAATGGTGGGGGTGAAGGGGCACTAAAACGGTGATTGTAATCACAGTAGGCAGGAAATACCTTCAACATACTACAGCATACTACATTCTTTCTTTAAAGTATTTGAACAGATCCAGCTAACAGAGAGGGGCTAAAAAAATCACAGTGAGGAATAAATTCCTAAACAGGTCCTAAATGAGGGATGAAACCAAGCACGGGTACAAACTTCACATGATGACAAAACAATATTGGAACAAGTTTTCCTTCCTCATTGGCGAGCCACCCAGGTGAGCTGGTCTGGAGCTGAATTTGGCCCCAACATACCGCTTGGGTAGTACAAGAACCTTTGAGAGGGGTCGGAGTCTCTTCCACTCTGGAGTTGTCCTCAGTGTGTACATACATACCGGTACTTGTTTCCCCCAAGGCTTGTTGCTTGTATGTTACCGTACACTCATGTGGACAAGAGGGTAGCCTCCTCTACCTTCAGATGGGCGGGCAGGTCCTGACTTGAGTGTGCCTGTGCACAAAACCGCAGTTCAGAGTGCCCATCCTTTCTCGAGTCCTTGGTTGGGATGTTGGAGACTGCTGCTTCTAGGGAGTCCCTCATTTTGCTGGGGACTTTAAACCTTTCAGGGACATCGGTTACTACAGTGGTCATCTTGTCATATTATCAGATTACAGGGTGCATGAAAGGGTTAATGCTCATGTGGGCAAAGACAATGAGACCTGGAAGAGTGTGATAGGAAGAAAAGCCCCCCCCCCCCGACATGAACCCCATCGGTGCTTTCTCTGCTAAAAAACAAAACAACAAAAAAAAAACCCAGCATAGACCAGCATAGTTTTGTTGTGTCTTCCTGATGGTCCTGATGGTGTCCCTTCATTTGTGAGCCCTGTATTTTTGTATTTATGTACACCCTCTAACTCAATGTTTTTGTATCTTATGCATTTTGCTACTGTCCATGCTGCTAAAAATTCGATGAAGAAAGATTTCTTAAATTTTCCTGTCAATGTATTATCCATGCACTTATTTGTCCCCCCTTTCTTCATCTTTAACCAGGACACTCATGGGTCCATATGGTGTCGACAGAACAGTTCACTCCATGGACTTTACAGATTGCGAGAATGGCTTAGGTGAGTGTATCAGTTTTTAAAGAAAGTTAGAGATGAGTTTCAAGAACTGTTTCAGCAAAAATATAATTCTGTAGCCACAGGAAAAACTACAAAAAATACTTGTGACACACATTAGGGTTCGTACATGCTAGTGCACAATCTGATTTGTTGATTTAAGTATTGCACAATGAATGTTGAGCATCATGTTTTTGGCTTGCGGAGTAGACAGAGCCCATTCTAGCAAAAAATCATTTATGAATGTGTATCTTTAGTAAATGAGGGAGAAACAGTAAAAGAGAAAAAGCCAGGCTCAAGCAGGATTTGGATTTGGCCCACCTGTAGGTGAGCGGGGAATTATTCCGCAGCACACAAAGAAGTCAGTGATTACTTGCAAACACTGCAACTACTCACCATGCAAACCCCGGTGCTGTTGTGGGCCTGGGACAGGTTTGCCCATTTGGACAAATTATGCAAACGTTACCTGACTGTTCCAATGGCAAGCACACTGAGTGAGAGGATTATTTATTTTAGCATCCTGCAGCTTCGGGTTAGCTTTTACCCAGCCCATGTCCATGCTGTGCAGCTATACTGACAAATTATTATTGACGTCATCAGCGACTTATTTGTTGACGTTAAGTAAAATCTTCATCACATCTGTGGCAACTTTTAAAATTTGAGGTTGTACAACCCATCTTGTGTTAATGACAAAATTACTGGTACATGTACAGTTGGTTTGTTCCACCATTTGGTAGGGACCTAAAACAGCCAATTATGGAAACTATTCATTAACGTTTGTTTAAAAATAGCTGGGTATTTGGTGTGCAAAAGTGTGAAATCAACCCTTTCATGCACCAATAATGATAACCTGTAACCTGATCACGATAAGTTGTCCACTGTGGTAACCGCTGTCCCTGATAGGGTTAAAAACACAAGTAAATTTGCAGTTATCTATCAGACTACAGTGAAACTCCTCTACAACGAAATCATGTTTGCAGCAAGAAATTTTTCACAACAGGGGGTTTTTCACTGTAGCAAATTTGATCTCAGATGTAAGCACACACACACCCACACACACAAACGTATGTGTACACGCACACACAAACGTTTGTGTACTCTATTTTTATTCCAATAGTACATAAGTATGAGCACACACTTATTTGACACTTCATATTGTCAGTGTAGAAAGAAAAAAAGGGAAAGAAATTGCGAAATTTACGATCAGCATTCACTTTCACTTACATCAATTTCTTGGAAAATGTATTTTATTTTGCTTGCTCCGTCTTTCATTTTGATCACTTTTACCCTCTCTTCCAGCATCAGAGCTCTTCTTGTCTTAGCTGCTTGACATCAAAAGGTCCGTTTTGTAGCCATTTTAGCAATGCAACGTCCATCCTCGTCTGAATCTAACAATAACAAATACTTCCTGACATGCAATGAACTTTTAAGCCAGCCACGGGATGCTTCGTAGTCCTCGATGGCCATAGT